ACGACACTTTTTCTTCATAAATGCAAAAATGTCAAATAAAATAAAATCAATCATTATAATTCTATAGTGAGCCGACTCATACCTGTTTGATAAGCATTGTTTCTTTTGGGTTGTATATATCATATATATAAGTCAGAATTATTAGCCCCTCTGGATTATTAGCGCCCCTGTTTATTTTTTTTCCCCAAATTTTTTTCAGTTCTGGGAAGATTGTTTCAGCACATTTCTAAGCATAATAGTTTTAAAAACTAATTTCTAATAACTGAATTATTTTATCTTTGCCATGATGACAGTAAATAATATTTTACTAGATATTTTTCAAGACACTTCTATACAGCTTAAAGTGACATTTAAAGGCTTAACTAGGTTAATTAGGTTAACTAGGCAGGTTAGGGTAATTAGGCAAGTTATTGTATGATGATGGTTTGTTTTGTAGACTATCGGAAAAAAAATTAACTAAAAGGGGCTAATAATTTTGTCCCAAAAATGTTTTTTGAAAAATTAATAACTACTTTTATTCTAGCCGGAATAAAACAAATAAGACTTTCTCCAGAAGAAAAAATATTATCAGACATACTGTGAAAATTTCATTGCTCTGTTAAAAATCATTCACTTTTAAGACATTACTAACTTTTGGAGGATCTTTACGAAAGCCTTTTTAATTATATCAATGCAGCTACTCATGCAATTCCATCTAAACCAGGGGTGTCCAAACTCTGTAGTGGATGGTCGGTGTCCTGCATATTTTAAATCCAACCCGAATTAAACACACCCGAACCAGCAAATCAAGCTCTTTCTAGGTATACTAGAAACTTCCAGGCGGGTGTGTTAAAGCTAAACTATGCAGGACAGCAGCCTTCCAGGACCCAGTTTGCACACCCCTGATTTAAACAAACACATTCAATTGAAAAACATATATCTAACATTTAATATATTAAATAAAAGTGGTGATGAAAAATCAGGGCAAAACAACAGCAAACTCTGAACTGCTGTATTGTGGGATAAGAAACTTAAAATCTCTATAAAGATTACATTGACTATCATGCATGTGTTGATTGCGCAAAAGTAGGGCTGGGTTTCAGATTTTTTTTTATTTTTCCAGTTTATAAAATGATGATCAATAAGTCATGATAATATGTGTTTTTATGTTTATTTAACTTATTAACACAATTAACATAAACTGTTTTATTTAGGTTTGCGTTGTTGAGTCAATTTAAGCCATTTAAGTTGGTTTAACTATTTCAGTAAGAACGACTTTAACATGTATAATCCATGTAAAATCCCTTTAAGATCATTATTAATGATTTTTAGCTTCGTCCACTCATTTAAAGCACCGTTACATTTTTTTCTGATGAAATTATTGAGCTTCAAAGACCTGAGAATTGCCTCTGAACACAAAGAAACACAAAAAAAGAAAGACTCTTAAGTATGCAGTACTGAATTAATCTGTGTGTATGTTTTTTTTAAACAGAGCTAAAACATGACAGGAATTAAAGCAATTTACTTCAGCTTTACTTATCAACACAGCCGCATGTCAGTACAATTATAAAAGAAGATGGTTCAATCCCGTTTTGTGGATGTTAAATTAGCTTTATTTTGTACATTAACATAACGGATATCCATACAGCAGTGCAAACGCGTGCTGTGTGTGTCCCTGCTGTGTGTGTGTGTGTGTCTATGTCCATGTCTGTATAGGAACTTTGTCACGCCATTGTGTGTGACTCATCGGCTTGAACTAACTCCACAACAATTATATAGTAAATAATCATTGGTAAATTTCTTACCGTAGTATTCTCACAAAATTGACGTTATATAACATTATTTTAATTAACCACGAAGCACTTACTGGAACTACTTCAGTCTACATAAATCATGTGACGATTATACATTTTAAACTTCCATTGTCGCCACTTTGTCTCTCTATTGCTTTGCTTTCAGTGCCACTAGTGAACATAACCAGTATGTGAAGGCAGAGAGTCCTGCTTATTTTTCAAAGAACTTTTTTAGCTACTTGACTTTTTTTCTCCATTCAAACATGGCTGGGTGGTTACTAACACATTTTTCTGTTGTGTGAAAAACACATTTTAACATTGCTTTACAAAGACTTCAGTTTAAGACAACCACCATTTTTTTTTTCCATAGACATTTATGGTAAAAAAATTCGAGCTGTGGTTGCCAGAATTAAAATTTACAGTGAATTAACATTTTTCATTCATTTATTCACCAATGTTTCGAAGTACTCTACACAATGTAGCTTTGTTACCAAGACAAAATCCTAACCATAAGCATGTGGAGATGAGAAAGTCATATGATGAACCAATCCAATCAAAACACAACTTTTCCCACGAGCAGAGATGAAGCATACTAATATATAAAGGGTGCTCTCAGTCATTCACACGAATACTCAACACCATCAGGGCAACACATCTAAAATTAAAGTAACGCAACAAACATTTATCAACATAACATAAAAACTCTTATGTACTTATCTCATAAGAAAATATACAAATAATGTCAACAAAATAAGCATAAATGCTGAAGTTTTATATATATATATATATATATATATATATATATATATATATATATATATATATATATATATATATATACATATATACATACATACACAGTTGAAGTCAGAATTATTAGCACCCTGAATTATTAGCGCCACTGTTTATTTTTTCCCCCCAATTTCTGTTCTGTTCTGGGAAGATTGTTTCAGCACATTTCTAAACATAATAGTTTAAAAAAACTTATTTCTAATAACTAATTTTATCTTTTCCATGATGACAGTAAATAATATTTGACTAGATATTTTTCAAGACACTTCAATAAAGATTAAAGTGACATTTAAAGGCTTAACTAGGTTAATAAGGTAAACTAGGCAGGTTAGGGTAATTAGTCAAGTTATTGTATGATGATGGTTTGTTCTGTAGACTATCGGAGAAAAAATTTGCTTAAAGGGGCTAATAATTTTGTCTCAAAAATGTTTTTTTAAAAATTAATAACTGCTTTTATTCTAGCCGAAATAAAACAAATAAGACTTTCTCCAGAAGAAAAAATATTATCAGACATACTGTGAAAATTTAATTGCTCTGTTAAAAATCATTTGTGAAATATTTAAAAAAGAAAATAAAAATGAAAAGGGGGCTAATAATTCTGACTTCAACTATATAAATAATGGGGGGGGGGGGGTTCGGGTTGTTCAGAAGACCCGCCCCTCACTGACAAAGGTGCAGAATTTGTTCCATACATGAGCTCATTCGTCCTATTTTGGCTGCTATGCCATCGTGTTGAAAATAATCCATTGAAAAAGGCTTATAGACCTAGCAGAATCTTAAAGCAGAAGTTGGCTGTTGCTGACTTCAGCTAATCAGTTTTGGCAAACGCTAACAAATATTTTTCATGAGTAAAACATCCAGCTGTGCAAGAAAACATACAATTTTGGCATACGAAAAGTCATCTTTCTCTACAGTATTGTTGAGAAAACATTTTACAAGTAACTTTCATTTTAAATCTTGAAAGAGGTGTCAAGCACCAAAAGCGGCCCATATTAAAATTGAATTGAATACTATTTTGGGAAAAATAGTCAAAAAGTGTGGTTATGATGACCATCCAACAAGCTAATTCAGGGCAGTGTTTAAAATGTCACAAAAATGCAATATTTAAATTTCATAATTTGTTAGAAAATAAGGCGTACAATTGCAAAACGGTCCACTTTAAAAATAAAATAAAAAAAAAAAACAGAATTTTTTACCAGGCTGGCTACAGGCAAATGTCCCTATTAAGCATGTGAGCAATATGAAAATGATAATGATAAATTAATGATTGACCTCCTGATGGTGCACCTGGTCAATCACTCATAAGCAAACCGCTCTATTAAGGACCATAATTGAGAAAAAACTGCCAGTTCTTAACAGCTATTCACACAGGACGAGACAGAACTTCTGACATGCTTGTAGAATTGAATTTCATGTGTGAGGTGCTGCAAAAGACACCAGAAAACAGAAAGTTTGAATACACCTGTCAAGAGGATGCTTACATAGAAACAACAATGGAAAAAGCAGGACGGTGTGGAATGCAAAATCCTGCAACTACTGCTCTACTTTGAGAGTTTGTTTGCATAATGGTGACGAGCTGAAAGAGGCTGTTATTATCTGTGTTTTTACACTAGTATAATAATAATACCATTAATAGCCTCAAGTGGTTCCAACCTTCACGAGTTTCTTTTTTTTTTTGTTAAACGCGAAAGAAAATAATGTAAAGAAAGCTCAAAACCTGTAACCATTGACTTCCATAATAGGAAAAACAAATACTATGTAAGTGAATGGTTACAGGCGAAGCAGTGGCGCAGTAGGAAGTGTTGTCGCCTCACAGCAAGAAGGTCGCTAGTTCAAGCCTCGGCTGGGTCAGTTGGCATTTCTGTGTGGAGTTTGCATGTTCTCCTCGTGTTCGTGTGGGTTTCCTCCGGGTGATCCGATTTCCCCCACAAGTCCAAAGACATACGGTACAGGTGAATTGGGTAGGCTAAATTGTCCGTAGTGTATGAGTGTGTGTGTGAATGAGTGTTTGTGGATGTTTCCCAGAGATGGGTTGCGGCTGGAAGGGCATCCGCTGCATAAAAACGTGCTGGATAAGTTGGCGGTTCATTCCGCTGTGGTGACCCAAGATTGATAAAGGGACTAAACCGACAAGAAAATGAATGAATGAATGAATGAATGAATGAATGAATGAATGGTAACAGGTTTCCAGCATTCTTCAAAATGTCTTGTTTTGTGTAGAAGAAAGAAACTCATATAAGTCTGAAACAAGTTAAGAGTGAGTAAATGATGACAATTTTAATTTGTGGGTGAACTATTCCTTCATTATGTTTTACTTTGCATATCTTGCATATTTAACAACCCAAACATCCTTTAAACATAATGACTTTCTAGACCCGGTCTCGGACCAACTACCGGCTCTTAAGACATTAACATTTCAGAAATAGGCTTTCTTACCTTCTGGGTTGAGATCGGCGATCATCTTCCCCACTGCCAGACTCCTGATAAAAAAAGAAGAAAGAAATTTATTCATTCATCTGTAGTGATATGTAAATATTGCCTCTGATTGTAAATATGAGGCCAAGAAAGAATGAAATACATAGCAAACTTTAGCAAAAAGCTAAACAAGAAAGTCATTAAATCAACACTGTGCAATGTGCATGCAAATACAAAGATTCAGTTGAGGTTATTGTGTTTTTTTTTACACAGTATTAACATATTTTCAGTGCCAACTAAACATAATTTAACACCTGTAGATTGATTGTTTTGTCTCAAAACAGAGAATAAAATTGTTTCATTGTTGCTTTTTGTTGTTGGTGCCATTCGCTTTCACAGTAGACTGTCCTCGCATTGGTCAAAGTTTCATGGTTTATTTTTAGTTTTGACATGGATCTGAGCACAAATGCCGTGTTCACATATGCCCAATTGAACCAAGCTAAGAGGGCAAATACTCTAGGTTCCGAAACAAACATCTAGGTGTGAATTTACCCTTAGGCATGGGCCGGTGTAAGATTCTGACGGTAAAAACATCAAGGTTTCACAGTATTGTGATCACTGTTCTAAAATATATCCTTTTTAAATGTCTGGATAAAAAAATTAAAGCTTTTTTTCCCTTTTGAACACACTACATTTTATGTTGAGAAACATTTTAAAACATTTTGGAACAGTACAAATGTCAGTTTTAAAACCTTGACTTTTCCAAACAACGCCATACCTAGAAAATGCCTACCTAAGATATTTAAAATATATACAGTTAAAGTCAGAATTATTAGCCCCCTTTTGATTTTGATTTTCTTTTTTAAATATTTCCCAAATAATGTTTAAAAGAGCAATGAAATTTTTACAGTATGTCTAATAATATTTTTTCTTCTGGAGAAAGTCTTATTTGTTTTGTTTCGGCTAGAATAAAAGTAGTTATTAATTTTTTTTAACATTTTTGGGACAAAATTATTAGTCCCTTTAAGCTATTTTTTCTTTTGATAGTCAACAGAACAAACCCTCATCATACAATAACTTGCCTAATTACCCTAACCTGCCTAGTTAACCTAATTAACCTAGTTAAGCCTTTAAATGTCACTTCAAACTGTATAGAAGTCTTGAAAAATATCAAGAAAAAAAATATTATTTACTGTCATCATGACAAAGATAAAATAAATCTGTAATTAGAAATGAGTTTTTAAAACTATTATGCTTAGAAATGTGCTGAAACAATCTTCCCCCCATTAAACAGAAATTGGGGGGGAAAAATAAACTGGGGGGCTTATAATAAGGGGGGGCTAATAATTCTGACTTCAACTGTATATTGACACGTCCCCTGCAGTACTGCTGTGACCTCTGCCGAAGACCCCTGCACTTTAAATATTAAACTTATTAAAACAACAGCCGTATGCTTTTGAACACTAGAAAAGGAGAAAAGCACTGCTGTCCTGCAATGCCATGCCATTTAATCACATAACTTCAACAAAGGCATTAATTGATTCCTATATATTTTGTTTGGGTAATGTCCCGCTCTGTCCTCCCACTATTGATCCGTCCAAGAATTCATGCAAGCTTTCTTGCCACTAATCAATAAATTTCATCTATCCGATTCAGCCTATTAGACCTCTCATGTCAGCGTCTGGTGATGTCATGCTATAGGGGAATGTGTTTAAGATAGTTTAAAACTTTAAAAAAGGTTTTAAAGAAAGAGTTGTGTCAGTGTTGCTATTCCAGAAAGGAGGAAAATTGACAAAAGGTAGGCACAATTCTATATTATTATTTATTTTTGTATTACATTTTTAGGTTTTGGTTCAGCTTTTTGGAGCAGTATGGAGGTGGATGCCACTTTTTGCATTCTGATACATTATTTTGATACATTATTTTTCTCCTGTTTCTGGTACAGACGGAGCAAGGTAAGATCTTTGTTTTTTCTTTTTAATTTTATTTTGAAAGTTTAGACAGTTGCTTCCTAAATCAGTTAGACATTTTGTTAGTTTGTTGTTTGTTTGTATTTTTGAAACCTACCATTACCCTTGGTCATTTTTTACTTAATCTTTAAATAAATGTATTTCTGGACATTGTGTTAGGTGTAAGTGATTGTTGGAGTACTGGGACAGGAGAAGAGTGATAATTGTTGGCTGCCCTGCCCTTTAGTTTTTGATTATTTAGTTACATAATTTTCTATTATCATAATTGGCCTCGGTCGAAGCAGTGGCGCAGTAGGTAGTGCTGTCGCCTCACAGCAAGAAGGTTGCTGGTTCGAACCTCAGCTCAGTTGGCGTTTCTGTGTGGAGTTTACATGTTCTCCCTGCGTTCGCGTGGGTTTCCTCCGGGTGCTCCGGTTTCCCCCACAGTCCAGAGACATGCGGTACAGCTGAATTGAGTAGGCTAAATTGTCCGAAGTGTATGTGTGTGTGTATATTTCCCAGAGATGGGTTGCGGCTGGAAGGGCATCTGTTGCGTAAAAACTTGCTGGATAAGTTGGCGGTTCATTCCGCTGTGGTGACCCCAGAATAATAAAGAGACTAAGTTGACAAGAAAACGAATGAATGAATAATTGGCCTCTAATTTTTTTATTTGGCAAAATTTAATTCTTTTTTTCCCCTTTACGTTTTTTTGTTGCAAGTTTCCCTGGGCCTAGATAAGGGTGGCACTTAGCAATTATATTCAGACTAGGCTGCACAATATTGTAAAAAATTGTCATGGCAATATTCTGTACTTTTGTGACATATTTTGCAATTTAAATATAATTTAACAAGATGATTTTAAGAAATATTTGGGGAAAATTCATATTTCAATGACAGAGAGTGCATCTGCATGAAATAAAACAAGTAATAAATAAATTAATTATTAGAATAGAGCAGAGATAGTCTAGCAGCATTTACATACAGAAATTCAATAATCAAATGTAAAACAACACTCTATACAGTCGTAAACATCCAGATGTGGATCAAAACCTTTAATAAAAGTTGTCCAAAACTACTCAAGGAACACCCATTGTTGTCTTAGGGCAATGTTGAAACACTTTTTTAAACTACTTCAAAAGCTGACTATGATGTTAAAGCTACAAATTGTATAATTCTTGTTCCCAAATGGTTTAAATTGCATTGAAATCTTAGTCACACAGGACTTAAATACTATTTAGATTATTAGGGTTAAACTATTCATGCATTCCAAACTGTGCATTCTAGCTTATTGTAATCATAACTGGACATTGCAGATCTGCGATGTGACTATTGCAGACTTGCACATTACAATATCAATGCTAAAACTATGTACAGTGCAGCTCTAATTTAGACGTATTGTGATAAAGGCTGACAGGACATTTAGAAACTTCCTATTTTCAAACAAATGACACAACGCGGAATAAATCTTTACCAGTGCAATTGGGTGACGATGATGACTAGAAACATGGTGAACACTTGCTTTCAAAGCGATTCTTACATCATTAGACCTCATTTGAATTGCATTGTTTCAGTAAGCTTGAGACTTGCCATATTCTGAAAACAATCGAATGCAGCAGCAGCAGCAGCAACAAAACAAAAACTGGTTATCACAGAACTAATTCATCTCAAAGGAACTCAAGGCAGATATGACCCAAGATGGCCATGGTTTTGCATAAACCCAAACGAAAGCTCAGTGCTTTGCATTATGGAAATGCTTAACTCCATGAAATCTGTGTTCAAATCAATTGGTTTCTGAGCAGCAAATGACTCCCAGACCTCTAAATATTTGACTATGCAATTAATATGTTCAAATCGATTATATAATCATGCAGACTTTTTTAACGCACAAAACAGACTGCATAATTTGTTAAATTAGTTCATCAGAGAAAACAAACTTTAACTGTCCACAAAGTATACAAAATTGGCATTAATCAGAGTTTTTTTCTACCCTGTTGGTCTATTTTTTAAATATACTGTGGTCATTTAGTTTTATTTTATGTTTTAGCAGAAATGTTGTACAGCACAGTGGTCAACTACGGTTGTTTTTATTGTGCTTGATAAATAAATTTGATTTTAAACTTCCCAAATGAGCCTCTCTCATGAAATTTCTTACAGATGTCAAATTATGAAAGATCTTAAATAACATATTACATGTCCAATAGTTCCATAACGGTTTTTAACACACTTATTAAAAATCCCCTTAAAGTAATATGAGGTCAAGAATCTATACTCAAAGAGATAACAGTTAAAGTGTATACTGGTTCCTCACCGGTATCAACCCCACCTAGAACCAAATGTTCAACTTTAAACCATGTAATAATGACCCAGATTTTACAAGCACCATCATGACTGCATTTCCAGCCACTATATTGACATCACTGAGATATCATATGACTCACTAGTGGTAAAAGCTAATTGCTTCAACGCAGGTCTAAGCTTTTATCCTGACATACAAAATGACCGGTAAAGGCAAACAATCTTCCCAGTTGAATGATTTTAAACTGGACTTTAACAGGAAGGGTTTCAAGGGGGATGCTACGACAATTTGAGAAAGAAAAAAGTTTTTCTAAATGTAGTTTCAGGGGCTGTGCTTACTAAATATGTGTGATATGATATTTTATTTAGATTGTTTAATATTTATTGTTCTAAAGACTTAAGAAACAACAAAGTGCAATATTGCAAGAAAGAAAAAGAAGATCATAAAAAACTTAAACAATGATCTGTCACCAAGCAGCTACCAACTTAGTATGTGAAAATCACTCAAAAAGGACTATAATGGGTTTAATCATGGAAAGAACTAAAAATGTATTAAGCACTACAAAAAATAAAATAAAATTATTAAATGTATAACATTTATTGGAAAATATTTACATAAAAATATCTCAAATTTAGCGGCACAGTGGCTCAGTGGTAAGCACTGTCACCTTAAAGCAAGAAGGTCAATAGTTTGAGTCCCGACTGGGTCAGTTGGTGTTTTTGCATGTTCTCCTTGTGTTCGTGAGGGTTTCCTCCACGATTTAAATGAATTAGGTAAACAAACATTGGCCGTAGTGTATGAGAGAGTGTGAATGTGACAGTGTATGTGTGTTTTCCAGTATTGGGTTGCAGCTGGAAGGGTATCCGTTGTGTAAAACATGCAGGAATAGTTGCCGGTACATTCAAGCCGAAAAAAAAATGAATGAATGAACTCATCTCAAATTTTTGAGAACGTAGACAGACCATCTTGATGACATCACTGGTGGAGCTTCAAAGGAGTGGGTGGAGCTATTGATCTCTTCTAGTGCACTTTGCTCCCTGTGGCTCTCTGGCTGCGTTCAAAATGGCATACTACTCGAGCAGGTACAACATTTGAATTTGATTTTACTTCACGACCATTAGAAAAACATGTTCTGTGAATGTGAGCAGTATGAATGAAATTTGTACGTACTACATCCACCATTTGTCATTATCTTGTGACCTACAATCAGTTGCGCCGCTCTCGCACAGCATCATGGAATAGCATAGTACACTTCAGAATCTTGCAGGAAGTAGTAGGTCAGCTGTGTAGTTCTCACATACTATTTTCAAACACTGTATGAATTGAGACATGATACTCAGCTCGCATACTTTTTTAAATAGGGCTGCACGATATTGGAAAAAGATTGACATTGCAATATTTTGTTTTTCAGCGATTTTCATTGCAATATGAAATATCTTTCACCAGATGGATTGAATGACTCTTTTTGAGAAGAATTCCCTATTACACAATGTTTGGGGTAATTTGTATAGAGGAGTGCATCTGCATAAATTATTAAAATGAACTCGGGATTTTTAAGGGGGAAACATACAAATGAGAGCGGAAAAAGTGCCTCATATTTGTCCAGCAAGTCTTAATGGCAGCTGAACACAAATATTTAAAAATCAAATGTAAAATGACACTTGACTGTCTTCACAATTTTTTTTTTAATTAAACTAGTCTTAAAGCTACAAATGCTATGTTTTCTGTGTCTGCATGCTCACTGGATATTTTTAAAAGGAAAAAAAAATTAAACAAATGCAATAAGAAACTTTGCTAATAATCTCCAAGCTCCTGGTCAAAAAAAAAGCAATGCTTGACCTTGCAGATCCAGCGATGTGACTATTAAGCACATTGATATCCATTGAGCACATTGAGATATCTATGCTGAAACTATATATTCTGCACCTCTAGCTTTTAACATACTATATAGTATGGAAGTACAGTATGTGATTTGGATACAGCCTCTATTTAGTGCAGGGATGGTAATATTTAGAAACTTCACAATCCGATTATGATTCTGTGAGTCACGATTCAATCTCAAAATGATTCTTAACCTACATTTTCCCTATTTCTTCTGCTGTACGTTTACATCTTTACAACAATTTTAACCAGAATCGGAGTTTCTGTGCTTTTGTTTAATAACTGGAATTTGCATGACATTTCTGTCATCATAAAAATTATTTATTTTATTAAAGAATTATTCAGGGTGTACAAGTTAATCTGTATTTAGGGGGTTATCTGTTAGTTCTCTATGTAGACAATAAAGTCTTCCAGAACTTATCTGTTGTGTTTATTGGGGTTCATCCCAATACATTTCATTCTATTTAAAGACATTTCCTATAGCACGATCGCCTCACAGCAAGAATATCGCTGGTTTGAGTCTCGGCTGGGTCAGTTGGCGTTTTTGTGTGGAGTTTGCATACTCTCTGTGTTGGAGTGGGTTTCCTCTGGGTGCTCCGGTTTCCCTCACAAGTCCAAAGACATGCGCTATAGGTATATTGGGTAAGCTAGATTGGCCATAGTGTGTGTGTGTGCATGGGTGTGTATGGATGTTTCCCAGTGATGGGTTGCAGCTGGAAGGGCATCCGCTGCGTAAAACATATGCTGGATAAGTTGGCAGTTCATTCCACTGTGGCGACCCCAGATTAATAAAGGGACTAAGCCGATAGCCGATAAATAATAGATACTCATATTTATAAGAATAGTTTCTTGAAAGTAACCATTGAGCTGTTATGTTTCATTTGAACAAAAAATAAAAATCACAATGCACAGTACTTTCTATAAATTAATATATAATTTTATGAATATAAATAACTTTATTGTGAAGTAGTCCCAGACATGGTGATTATAAAATATTATCATAAATAAGCTTTTTTTAAAAGCAAAAACGCTGCCTACTGTTAGTCAGTAACACATTTATAACCCCACCATTTCACACCATGCAGACAGTCTGTTTATTATGACAGTATTTCAGGGGGCAGCTGTGTTTACTTCCTGGTTCCAACACGACTTTCGTTTGAAGACCAATCGCATCGTCATCGGCAGATTTGCATATGATTATGAACTATCTGATACATTGTCTAAAAAGACGCTTAGAGACATTTGAGCAATTATCACCAAACACTTCCTGTCTTTGACAAGCCCCTGCAAACAACCGGTAACGTTAGATTTGGCAGAAAATCTCTACAAAACAGACTTACACAACATATGTCTTACGCTCGCAGAGATGTTTGATAAGCCATAAGGGCAACGTAGTAATTTTGACTGTATATTTGACGCATGCGTGCTTCTTTAGCGTCTGAGGACAAACGGACTAAATGAAACAGCGGAAATGAACCCAAAACTATACCGAGGCGGTGGAAGGTGTCGGAGAGGGGGAAAAAAGATGCTAGTCACTCACCGAAACGCACGGGCTGGATGTTGCGCTTGGAGTAGGCGACCGCTGCACAGTTACCAACGCCATTCAGGCTCCGGTAAACGGATACCTGAGAGAAACTGGCGGTGGCGAGACAGACATAATTGTGTCAAGGGATATCAGCCGCAGCTCGTCCGTTGCTACTGCTGTGTCGCGCTTCCTCTCTGAGACTGCAGTGCGCATGCGCCGAAACCCGCAGCTGTCAAGATTCAGTGGCCTCAAGCCATGGTTAACTGTCTGTGTACTGAACAAGCAAGTGCATTTAGCAATTAAAAAACTGGTTTAAAAGGCTCACCGTGAGTTTTTCTTAATAAATAGGCGTCTTCAAAGATTCCACAATAATAAAACAAAACATTGAATTAAACAAAAGAAGACAAAGAGATGGTTTACCTAAAAATTAGACATTAGTTATTTTACTCCAACTCCTATCATTGTGTGCATTTGTGTTTCTTCTGTGGAGCGTAAACACATTTCTCTTTCCATTGATTTTGTGTCACCAAAATACAGGAAAAGTCAGTGAGAAGGAATCGCCCGTCTCATAAACCAACATTCTTCAAACTATCTTCTTTTATATTCCACAGAGGATGACGTGGTGGCGCAGTGGGTAGTGCTGTTGCCTCTCTGCAAGAAGCTTGCTGGTTCGAGCCTCGGCTGGGTCACTTGACATTTCTGTGTGGAGTTTGCATGTTCTCACAGTGTTCGCATGGGTTTCCTCCAGGTGCTCCGGTTCCCCCACAAGTCCAAAGACATGCGGTACAGGTGAATTGGGTAAGCTAAAATTGTCCGTAGTGTATGAGTGTGAATGAGAGTGTATGGGTGTTTCCCAGTGATGGGTTGCAGCTGAAAGGGCATCCGAAGTGTAAAACATATGCTGGATAAATTGGCGGATCATTCCTCTGTGGCAACCCCGGATTAATAAAGGGACTAAGCTGAAAAGAAAATGAATAAATGAATATTCCTCAGAAGAAAGAAATGAATACAAGCTTTTAGAGCAGTGGTTCTCAAACTGTGGTACGTGTACCACTAGTGGTACGCAGGCTTTCTTCTAGTGGTATGCGGAGGAATGAAATATGTCATGTACATGCTACATATATTTCAAAATGTATTAAAAATAATGTATATAATATGCCATATGATATATAGCGTATATTTGTGAGGTAATCTGCCACGGTTTTTTTTACTTTGCAGAGCTGTAGCTGCTTTACTGGGCCTACTACGCTACTGTATTTCAATACTGCTAATTTTGGTGGTACTTGGAGAGACAGTTTTTTTCTGAGGTGGTACTTTATGAAAAAACTTTGAGAACCACTGTTTTAGAGCAACATAAGGCAATGACAGTTGATTAGAATAACACGTTTTCTTTGGTCTTAATTGAAAATCAGGGTTATTTCTCTAAATATTGACTTCTTAATATTAGTTATAATGTGTGTAAACGTCACTTTTTTAGTCATTTTATGCATAAATGTTCTAACTGACCTTTTTTCAGCCAACAACAAATCAAAGCATATTGTTGTAAATTTATTTAAAGCAAATGCTTCAAATATTATCTAATAAATATATATATATATTTGAATAAATGTTCTCAGACCTCAGTAGAAAAAAAAAACTAATATTAACATTTTACACAAATCCATATTTATCCAGATGAACTGAACATTTTGGTCTCTCACTTTTTTTAACAGCTGTAAACACATATATAGATATTGAGGTCAGAATTATTGGACCCCCTGTTTAATTTTTCTCTATTTCTGGTTAACGTAAATAAGATTTTTTTTCAACACATTTCTAAACATAATAGGTTTAATAACTCATTTAAAGTAGATGATTTCTTTTATCTGTGCCATGATGACAGTAAATAATAATTTACTGGATATTTTTCAAGACACTATTATTTAGATTGAAGGGCAATTTAAATATTAACTAGGTTAATTAGTTTAGGACAATTATTTAAATCATTGTACAACAGTAGCTCGTTCTGTAGACAATCAAAAAATGCTTAAAAACACTAATAATGTTGACCTTAAAATGGCTGTTAAAAAAATTAAAACTGCTTTTATTCTAGCCAAAATTAGGCAAATAAGGCTTTCTTCAGAAGAAAAAATATTATCTGAAATACTGTGAAAATTTCTTTGCTCTGTTAAACATCATTTGGGAAAAATATTTAAATGAAAAAAAATTCAAAGGGTGGCCTAATAATTTAGATTTCAACTGATTCCATAACCAAAGACAAAAGTTGTGTTTTACATGATTTATCTTTTAAAACCTTTTAAATCAAGAAATACTCTTTTCTTTTATTTTAGGGGATGGTAGAACAGAATATATACATACACACAAAACATTCTCACTGTTTTCTAAAACGATGCACAGACAGGAAGTGGTTTTACAGACAAGCTGTGACTGTTCTTCTGCTGGTAACCTCACACAAACTTCACACATGCCAAAGCAGATGATTTCTCTTTTTGTGAGACATGTGATACCCTCAGCGATGAATAGATAGAATACATTTTTTTTTTCTTTGACCATGCAAAGCATTTGACACACACGACTTCATCCAGTATGTTAGTGGAAACTTCCTCATACCTTATTTTGCTCTATTTGCCTCTGGCCATTCAAGCACATCCACACATGCACTGTTTACTCAAGTCTCAGTGAATGCCATTAACAGCGAGAGTAGAGAAAATAAGATTAGGATTACTGCAGACTGTGGGTTAATGCTCAGATACAATAGAAGGAATCCCTTATGACGTATAAAGATGCTTCAGTCCAGTGAAACATTTAAACAAGGCAAATGGTACGATACATACTATAGAATCATACCAAATGCATCATGTAATGGACTATAGACATCATGGACTGACAGTAGGCTTACACATGGCCATACACATGAGAGAACAACACAAGCAATTCAGATATTCATAATATTGTATGTATAAGAATGTTGCTGTAAACAAAACAAAACTGTGCACTTTCTATGCATGAATGAAACTAAACTTGCCTGGGGTGTGGTGCTTGGTGATTAAGTGCAGTATTATAGGAACTATCACCATCTAGTGGTAGCTCTTTCTTTTCTGGCCCCTAAAATATTTCCTTAAGCAGTGGTCTCGGGGCTGCAGTTCTGCATATCTCCACCTCCAACTCACACATGCTTTATAGTCTTTAGTAGTCTTGAACACCTTGATTAGTTTGATCAGTTGTGTTTGGTTAATGTTGGATCAAAACTGTGTAGATCTGTGGCCCTCCAGGAATTGAGTTTGAGATGTCCTAAAGCATGGGAACATTCTAAAGACATAGTAATATATTTGTCTCTGAAAAATGTTTTGGGAAAATATATTGTACCGTTACATTATTATAGTTTCCTACTTATTTGTTAAATTATTCGCTCATTTATTTAATGATGTAATTATAGTTATTTTAATCAGATTTGTATTCGTTTCATTGCTTTGATGTTTATTTATTTTTAAATAAAATAACGTAGCTTGCATAACTTCTAAATTAAAGTTAGAACATGGCTAACATGGTTAGTTTAAGTTACAATGAACTAAAAACATGCTGTCATGACTAATTGATCGTATAATTTTGTTTTTCAGTGCACTATTGTGTTGTTTATCTTAATTAATAAGTAACTGTAATGTATTCTGCAATTGTTCACCTTTACATTTATTTGTAGGCTACAACTGGTGAATTTCTTTGAACTTTTAAATAATTTTAGCTAAAATTAACAATGATGGTGCTGTAGAAACCTTTTGCTAAGAAAATAGGAAATTCATTATTATTATTATTATTATTATTATTATTATTATTATTATTATTATTATTATTATTATTATTATTATTATCCACTGTATACGGATTTCTGTTAAAAATGGCTCATGAAATGGGTCAACTCCATCTATGAAAGAAAAATCGTTCTATTCACAAACGGCACTTTCATAACAATGCAAATGTAATCAATATGCGTCATTTTGAAATAATTATAGTATAAAATTATATTTACATATATGTATTTTGTTTACACGTTGTGATTAAACACAAATATTATCTGTTTTGTTAACATTGAAATTCTCTTAAACTATCGAATCTGCTTACGGTAGATATTTCACGAAGCAAGATGGCGACCTCGGGTAAACAGTAAGTGCGATAATGCTAAATTATAGTTATTTTACTTGCTTACACAAGAAGCAGTTGGAAATTGTGTAGTCTGTAACGACAGGCATAACACGATGGTTCTGTTTGCACAATGTAAACGAGTGTCATGAGACGAATAAGCTAAACAAATTGCCCGAATGAACGAGCTAATGCTACTAATAACAAAAACACATGTAATTCAGTCACACTAACCACATCATATATCATAAATGAACTGTATTTAATAAAACATTTAAATAACACCATGTTGCTAATTGCATGAAAGCCTGCACTGATGACGTGGTTTTAGCTGGTTTATTCGGGATGTTGCTGAATTAAGCTGGATGTAGGTGGTTAGATCTGGTTTCCCAGTCTGGCTAAACTGGGGTTTATATGGGTTTTACTGCTTAGTCAGCTGCTGGTCTACCTTCCTACTATACGAATATGTAACTCCAGCCTAAAATCATTAAATTATTATAATAAATTTGAGCTATTATTAACTATGCATTATCAAAATGAGCCCATAATATGTCAATTATTTAATCGAAACCACTGTCTGTAAGGCAAATATTTATTTGATTTGATTTATTAACTATATAAAAATGAATTGTCCCAAAGCAGAAAAATATTAACAACACAATAATTAAAAGGCTGTAATTCTATAATTCTTCCAATTATTTTTAAAATGCGTTACAAAAAATACAAACAAAGAAACCAAATAACTTGCAGCTTTTATTGTTAAAACGCCATGTCCCTTTTTTTATGCAATTTAATGAAAAAATAAGTCCTTAAAATTGCATAATACCAAAATGAGCGGCAAAATCCTAGTTAGCATTTATTTTCAGCAGAAACAATTGTGGTAAAAAGAAAACACCTTTATGTGACTCTGCTTAGTAGTATTAATAGCTGTATTATTAAGACTTTGCAGATGAATAGGGTAACAAATAAACTAATTATTATCATCACCATTGTTCTTGCTCAAAA